CCTCCCAAGTAGCTGGGACCACAGGCGCCCGCCACAACGCCCGGCTATTTTTTGGTTGCAGCCGTCATTGTTGTTTGGTGGGTCCAGGCTGGGGATTCGAACCCGCCACCTTAGGTGTACGTGGCTGGCGCCGCTTACATTTCTTAACTTTTTTTTGTTTTTTGAGATAGAGTTCCACTCTGTGGCCCTCAGTAGAGTGCCGTGGTGTCACAGTTCATAGCAACCTCAAACTCTTGAGCTTAAGAGATTCTCCTGCCTCAGCCTCCCAAGTAGCTGGGACTACAGGTGTCCGCCACAGTGTCTGGCTATTTTTTTGTTAGTAGTTGTCATTGTTGTTTAGCAGGCCGGGGCCGTGTTCAAACCCACCAGCTCTGGTGTATGTGGCCAGCGCCCTAACCACTGAGCTATGGGCACCAAACCTCTTATATTTCATGTTAGTTTTTTCCCCAGGCTTTTTCTTGCAACCCAGTAGTACTTTCAAGACCATCACTTTTCATTATTCAACTGGTTTGCTTAAAAGAGGCAAACTAATGTTAACATTGGCACAATTAGACCAGAGGTAGAATGATAACTTTCCTACTACCAACCCACATGAAATACCGTACATTTATTTACAAAATGAGTTATGATTTACACTTTTCCTGGCCATCTCTAAGCTTCCCCTCCCCTATCATATTACTTCTAGCATGGAAAACTGAAAGCTGATTATAACTCAGTAATTATAGGAGAGCAAATCCACTTACCTATAGGTGGGGTCACCATGATGGATAGGATATGTATCCATAGGAACATTTTCCATTGAAATATCAGTGAGAAGAAGTGACTTTCTATGTTTTAGACTGCAGCGACTTCGAACCTCTTCAGACACTGTGAGTAAAGCTAAAAGGAAAAAGAAGGCAGAGTAAAATATGTAACAAATCACAAGTGTACATTTAATGCACATTTCATTTCAACAAAGATTAAAAGTAGGTAGGACAGGTATTATTATGTTCATCAAGGAAAGAATGATTTGCTCAAGGTCGAATAGTTTAAACAAACCAAAACTGAGTCTACTAAACTGAGAACAGCACCTTCCATCAAACAACTACACTATGTTGACAAGCAGAGAGAAATGGAAATCAGGTAACGGCAAACAGGGTAGGTTTAATGGAATGGTGGGCACAGGGCAGACATTCAGGTAAAATGTTATAAGGAAATGCTATTGAAGAGGCAGAAAACCACTTGTAAGAAATAACAAGTAGCTTAGCTTAAAACAGTCCACCACTTGGAGAAATATTAGTAATAAAAAAAAAATGAGGCTTATGACATTTAGAGAAAGAGGGCAGAATTAGGAGGCCTGCTTAAGGACCCAGGATGCTAGGCTGAGGCATTTAGATTTTAAGACAGATAACTGGGAGCCACTGTAGTGTCTTGAATCAAAGATGACAAAGGGAACATGTTTTAGATTTTAAAGTAAATTCTTTCATAAGGAAAATAATATATATATATATATTGTTTGAGACAAAGCATCAAGCTGTCCCCCTGGGTAGAGTGCCATGGCATCACAGCTCACAGCAACCTCCAACTCCTGGGCTCAAGCGAGTCTCCTGCCTCAGCCTCCCAAGTAGCTGGGACCAAAGGCGCCTGCCACAATGCCTGGCTATTTTTTGGTTGCAGTCGTCATTGCTGTTTGGCGGGCCTGGGCTGGATTCGAACCCGCCACCTTAGGTGTATGTGGCTGGCTCCTTAGCCACTTGAGCCACAGGTGCCAAGCCTTTTTTTTTTTGAGGCAAAGTCTCACTTTATTGCCCTCAGAAGAGTGTCGTGGCATCACAGCTCACAGCAACCTCAAATTCTTGGGCTTAAGCGATTCTCTTGCCTCGGCCTCCTAAGTTGCTGGAAATAGAGGCACCCACAATGCCTAGCTATTTTTTTGTTGTAGTTGTCATTGTTGTTTTGGCAGGCCCGGGCTAGGTTTGAACCCACCAGCCCCAGTGTATATGGCTGGCACCCTAGCCACTGAGCTACAGGGGCAGAGCTAGGAAAAATGTTTTGACAAAACTTTCAAAATTTTGAACACCACTGAAGGACAGGACTATGAACTCTTTACTTTGCCAAGCATCCAGCAAAGTACCTACAGGTACTCGAACCTTTTTGGTGATCCTTAGATATAGATATGGTAAGATTAATTTTGTCTCCTGTTTTTTACCTGCTAGGTAAGCCACACTTTGTGTATTTACTTCAAATTTGTCACAATTTCTATGTTTGTTAACCAAAGTCAGTAGTGTATGCAAAATTCTGACTGTTCTTGCAACAATGGCAGGTGAAGGATGCCTGTATCCTACAAACAAATAAAAACAAATAAGAAATTAGTTCATTCTTTGAACAAGTATCTGTTGAATTCTTACCCTTGTGAGTAGCAACTCTGCAAGGAATGGAAATGTAAGGGCTAAGTCCTCCCTTCCAAGAATGGCCATCTGGGAAGGTATTAATTACATAAAGAATACCACAAATGTGTAGACCAGAATAATGTTCCCTGGAGCCCTAAGGTGCCTGAGGGAACAGGAAAATTAGGAAAGATGATAATCTTTCAGATCTCCCATTCCCTAAAGGGATTTTAAAAATCTATGTATTTAAGGTCCCCTTAAGATGTTTTTTTGAAAACAGTATTCTATTACTTAAAACTTTTTGTAATTAAAAGAAAACAAACTAATGACATAGGAAATATATACTCTAAGAGCCAAAAAACAAACAATCCTCCCCCCCCCCAAAAAAAACAACAAAAAAACCCTCTAGAGTTGATTAAAAGTTTGAACATTGGCCAGCTTTTAATCATTAATGTTACTCCATTTTAAAAGAGATTTGAACATTGAAAATCCCTGGCATTATTTTAGAAATATGGAATATGTAAGCACTTCATCAGCCCAGTTACAATCCCTCATTTTGGTATACTTTAGTAAGTATAATATCTTTTGAGTAATCCCTATTCACCACAGAGATTAAAATGATATATTTTATATAAATTTTATGAAGAGGTGAAATAAAATGCATACATTTATAGTGGTGGGTATATACGTGTATATATTATATATATTATACTGGGTAAAAACTGGGGGAACCTCCATGATCCCACAAGTCTAAGAATTATTTAAACTGATATACAACTGTAGACTAAGGCTCTAGCTTGAATCTCTATTGTGGCCAAATCCAGTGCTGCCTAAGACCACTGGCTCATGCCAGCTCCTTATCCCAGCTCTTACTCCTACTGACCCACCACTATATGCTGTTCCTGTTAACTGTGCTATCTGACTATGACCCCCTCATGTTAATGAAACAAAGTTAACAAGCTGTGACATCAGCAGCGGGGAGTAAAAACAAGGTCAGGAAGTGAACGAGCTGATTCTGAGATACAGCAGCAGATCAATGGCTATAAATAATATAAAAATCTGGAGGGGTGGGAGTAGTTTCCCAAGTTATTTCCAGTTCTTTGGTATAAAATAATAGCATTCATTAGTAGATTAGAAATAAATTGAAGAATATTTGTGGCCAAATCTCTAATACTTCTCTTTTTCTTTCTCTCTCTTTCCTTCTTTCTTTCTTTTTTTTTTTTTAGACAGAGTCTTCCTCTGTTGCCCTGGGTAGAGTGCTGTGGCATCATCATAGCTCACAGCAACCTCAAACACTTGAGCTCAAGTGATCCTCTATGCCTCCCAAGTATCTAGACTATAGGCACCTGCCTTAAAGCCCAGATAATTTCCCTGTTTTTAGTAGAGACAATGTCTCACTCTTGCTCAGGCTGGTCTTGAACTCCTGAGTTCAAGAGATCCTGCTGCCTCAACCTCCCAAAGTGCTAGGATTACAGGCGCGAGCCACTATGCTGGGCCAAATCTCTAACACTTTTCAATATAATCAAATTATACTTACTGATTTGCAGCATGTCTTATTTTGATAATCAATGAGATACTTAGGCACTTTTACTAATAATATAGTTATTAGAAAGCTCAGTACTTTGGCATTTTAAAAGAATCAACTCTGACTTTTTTAGGGAAATCTGATATTTGATGTGGAAATTAGAGTCTCTTAAAATACATGCTGAACAAACCAACTCATTGAGACAGGTATGGTTTGCATTTAAAGTAAGACATATGGGCTAAATAATTTTAATTTACTTCAAGTAACTGATTATTTTAATTACTTCTAGTTTCTTAATACTATTTCATAAAAATATTTCAACATAAGGGCTTTACCTTTTAAAAGATGTCCAACCAATGCGAAGTTAAAGTTAGAGTTGAAATTGAGTCCAACAAAATGATCCATTTGCTTGCAGTGCCATTCCAGAGGATTCCGGATTGCCATAAATACCTCCTCTGGACTCTATATTAAAGACAATTATGAGATGGTTGATGAGGTTCATACAAGAGCTTTCTTTAAAGAATCACTTACTGATTTTTGTGTACAACAGCTATGACAAGGTAAGTAATCCTCTTAAGCTGAGAGAAATTATTTTCAGATGACTACAGAAAACCACAGAACATTTTAGGTACTACAAATTAATTGGTAGAAAATAGTCAAGTATATAAATAAGAAGGTACAAGGTAAAATCACTTTGACTTATAATACAGAATAAAATAAGCATCAATTTATATACTGGTGACTGTTTTTTTTTTTTTTTAAACAGTCTCACTCTGTCACCTGGGCTAGAGACATCATAGCTCACTGAAACCTCAAACTTCTGGCCTCAAGTGATCCTACTGCTTTAGCCTCCTTAAAGCTGGACTACAGGTGGATACCACAATGTTCAGCTAATTTTTCTTTCTTTCTCTCTCTCTTTTTCTTTTGCCTCGAAATCCTGCCTTGGCCTCCCCAAATTGCAGGCTTACAGGCACAAGCCACTGAACCTGGCCCCTGGTGACTTTGAATGAGCTTTATTAACTCTGATCTTTAGCACCCTAGGACACTAGAATATCCAATATTACCTCTTGATATTGGGCTGTGCTGACAATGAAAATGTCGAGGCAGATACTCCTAAAGATACAAATACTTCATCGGCAAATGTTCTTAATATATGAATATTCTTAACATACAATTGGCCAATAGCTAGATACCATTCTGACCACCATTGTCTCAAGACAACCAGAAAACAGCACTGGGAATAGGAAAGAGGGGTTATAGCCCCAAACAAGATGTATGAACACAGACAAATTACTTAGTGTCTTACTTGCTATTCTGCAAAATGAAGGTCTGATTAACTTTACAACATTGTCTACCTGTAAAATTTTGCTTCCCCACTTCCCAGATCCTTAGTTGTTTCGGGTCCACACTACACCTGGCAGAATAAACAGTGTTTAGACTAAGTAACTTCACACTTAAAACCATGATCCTGTTTTCTCCTCCTTTCTTCTCATATTTTAGTTGATTTTATTTCAAGCAAATCTCGTTAAATTTGTTTTCTCCTTTTTGCTTAAACTCTTCTCATTTTTATCCAATGATAAAAGGAACATAATTTCATACTATTTTATTCCTTCCTCTATTCTCTATGAACCCAAATCCAATCAGTGTTGACAAATGTTAAGAGGAGTGCTAATGGTGTATGTATTTTAAAGTGACATTAGGGCTGGGCATGGTGGCTCACACCTGATCCTGGTACTCTGTGAGGCTGAGGTGGAAGGATCACTTGAAGTCAGGTAGTTTGAGACCTGCTGAGGCCTGAGCAAGAACAAGACCCTGTCTTTATGAAAAACGGAACAGTTAGTTGGGTATGGTTGTGTGCACTATGGTTTCAGCTACTCAGGAGGCTAAGGCAGAAGGATCACTTGAGCCCAGCAGCGTGAGCTTGCAGTGATTTACAATAATGCCAATGCATTCTAGCCCAGGTGACAGAGACTCTGTCTCAAAAACAGAAAAAAAAGGTGAGATTAGGCAAAAAAAAAAATTAGTAAAAATAAGTGCCCCAAAACTTCCTCTAGACTCTCTAACTCCTGATCTACTACAAATTATATCCATTTTTCATTATGTAGCATTAGTCAGTAAAAATAAGTTTACTTTAGATTATTTCTTCATTTATTTCCACAAATAAAGGGGCAGAGAGAATGCTAAATTCTACTTTAGGGTTATTAAAATTAAGAACAATGACTGTACAGTGCTTAGCATAGGGCCTGGCATGGTGGCTGCTATTACTGCTCAGTGTTATTTATTCTTACCCTGTTTACTGGGCCAGTACTGCATTTTACTATTTTTATATAGAAAATATGCACTGAAGTTTAAAATAGTTCTTTATGAACTGGTAAGGAACTACACTCAGAATAACTTGCATTATAGAAATTCACACATGGACTTACTAATTTTAAAAGAACAGCTACAATAAAAGAGGGCAAAGTCTAAATCTAGGAATTCCAAGGGAAAGCTTGCTTACCTTGTCATTGAATATCCGGAGACTGTCTAAGGTATGCAGGTTTTGTTCAAGAAGCGCAGTACCTGCTGAATACAAGTTGACCTCATCAAGCTGCAGCACAGCCACAGCCACCCAAAAGAGAGCTTTGTGTAGAGGGGAATCCTGGCAAAGGAGACATGTCCAGGTTAGTAAGTTGATTCATGAGATGGTCTCACTCAAAACACACTGCAGTACAAAAAGAAGTGTGTTATCCCCCCCAATTATCCATGTTTTCTCTTATGGCCAAGATAAATATATGGGTAAGCTCTTTCATCTACAACTAAAGACACTGTTAGCTGGCTGAAAACCTTAGCATCTCCTTTGATTTTTCCTGTTCTTTGGTTCCCAAATCTAGTCACTAAGGTTTGTGGATTCTTCTAGAGTAGTTTCGTTTCTTTCTTTCTTTTTTTTTTTTTAAAGTTAGAGTCTCACTATGTCACCCTCGTAGAGGGCTATGGCATCACAGCTCACAGCAATCTCCAACTCTCGGGCTTAAGCGATTCTCTTGCCTCAGCGTTCCAGGTAGCTGGGACTACAGGCACCTGCCATGATGCGCAGCTACTTTTTGGTTGTAATTGTTACTGTTGTGTGGGAGGCCCGGGCTGGGTTTGAACCCGCCAGCTCCGGTATATGTGGCTGATGCCCTACCTGCTGAGCTATGGGCAACGAGTCTAGAGTAGTTTCTTAAGTATCTGTTGTTTTTCTCATTGCTCATAACATTACCCCATGCCAACCTTATTTTAAATGTGGCTTCTTTTTGCATTCAGTTTCTAGCAACCCCAGTTTACTACCCACATCACCACTACAATGATTTAAGTCCTGTTTTGGTCATATTACTTGTCTGCAGAAAAACAATACATTTCCAAACTCCTTTCTGAACAACACTGAATGTTAGATTAGATCTATACATTCTTCACAACTTTCCCCTCTTGCTATTCTTTTTTTTTTTTTTTTTTTGAGATAGAGTCTCAAGCTGTCACCCTGGGTAGTCACAGCCATGGTGTCACAGCTCACAGCAACCTCAAACTCCTGGCCTTAAGTGATTCTCTTGCCTCAGCCTCCCAAGTATAACCCAGCTATTTTGTTGTTGTAGTTGTCGTTGTTTGGTAGGCCTGGGTGGATTCAAACCCACCAGCTCTGGTGTATGTGGCGGGCGCTCTAGCTGCTGAGCTACAGGTGCTGAGCCCCCTCTTGCTATGTTTTTTTTAAGACAGAGTCTCACTTTATCATACTTGGTAGACTGCTGTGGCTTTACACAGCTCACAGCAATCTCCATCTCCCAGGCTTAGGTGATTCTCTTGCCTCAGTCTCCTGAGTAGCTGGGACTATAGGCGCCTGCCACAATGCCTGGCTATCTTTATGTTATTGTTGCAGTTCGGCCAGGGCTGGGTTTGAACCTGCCACCCTCAAGTATTATGAGTCTGGTGCCCTACTCACTGAGCCACAGGCGCCCCTCGCCTTCCTATTCTTTAGAAATTTCTCCACTACAACTAGAATGGTCTACCCACCTTCCCTCCACTGTCCCAGAGTTCTTATACAGTCCTACTGCTGTACCACTGCTATTTAATAAGGCTTTCAACTTCCTCCCTTTCTATCCACCTCAAATCCTACCTATCTCTTTAATGTTAGCTTAAAGTCTACCTTATCAACTTCTTGTCACTCTTAAAACAGTATAGTGATCACTTGCTACTCTGAATTAAAAGCATTTATTATTGGTAATCTGTAGTTAGCACTGTTGCTTATGGGAAAATACAGACTTTAGAGTCAGATAGTACTAGGTGAGAATTGTGCTTCTGTCTTTTATTAGATATGTGACCTTGGACAAGATACTTATCCCTTTTGAGCCAATTTTTACTTATATTATGGGGATGAAAGAACCATTTTATATGATATAAAATTAAGATGTTTATAGAACATACAACCAAACCAGGAACCTAATAGGTATGTATTTCCATGTAATCTCTCCCAAGTTTGGCCTATCTTTGCAGTTAAATCACAGAGTTACACAACCTTAGAATGGGAAGGTAGTACAATGCCATTATGTAGTCTAGTTTACTCATTTTATAAATAAGAAAGCATAGTGTCCTAAAATGTTAAATGACTTGCTTAAAGGCACAAAGTTAAGATGAGCTCAGACCCTCATACAACAGCAGCCATATCATTTTACTTTTTAAAAATATTATCTTCAGGCTCGACGCCTATAGCTCAACCGGCTAAGGCGCCAGCCACGTACACCTAAGGTGGCGGGTTCGAATCCCCAGCCCGGACCCGCCAAACAACAATGACGGCT